CCGGTAGTACCTCGTTGGGCTTTGAAAGTGGTCATTAATTTATGGAAAAGGTTCCAATAACACATTTGACTACTGGTACTTTTGGTGCGATTTGTGTTGTCTGTGCACATGTTGCTTAACTAGTTTTTTTTAAAGGACAATGACCCTGCCAAAATGATCAGTGCACTTGTGCGGTATGTCAATTTGGATGAACCTCTGTGTACTGTAAGTGGTAGAGTTTGTATATGAATATTGATGTAGAACATTATTCTGAGTACACTTCCTACGGAATGCATCAAAGTTAAATTGCATGTTACAAAGTACGACATGGTAGGGGTGTGTACAAATCGTTTTTCTGAGCATGCTGGGCTGGTGTATATATCTGGTGGCGACAGTGGTGGGCTTTGAATACAAATGCAATGTTCAGCACCATCAATGAGGTTTGTCAAACCTGGTTGACGGTACTGAACATCACATACATAAAATGATGATGCATTGGTTGTGGAATACACAATATGCTAATGACCTTTATCGAGGTTATGACGTAGACATGTCTCATGAATATTATTTGAAAGTGCAATTATTAATAGAAAGCATTTACATTATTATGAAATGCTGGAATTGTGTATATTCGGTCTTGACTCTCTGTCTATTGTGGTAATTTGAAGACTACATGTTTTCTATCATACTAAACTGGTCACCAAATGGCCTTTACACACAGATCTGAATGAGTGTAGACAAGCCTCAATAGGTGAGAAGGTTTTGATAGTATACAGCGCCACCAGTGGCTGGGTAATTGGGCAGCCAATCGGCGAACTCGCTAATGAATCAGCTAACTGCTTGGGTTTTTACTGAATCTCACTGGTGCCGAATTTTGGCCAGGCCAATCCTGGATACATATGTATTACAGTAGGAAACATACAATTTTTTATGTAGTCTGGCACATTTCAAAGGTGATTTGCTGAATTATGCGCGACATGATAATGTAAAAATAGTTTACATTTACCAAATTAGCTAAAAAAAGTCTGCTCACCCCATTTTTTTCAAAAAAATACTATCCTATAAAACAATGGGATATTGTTAAAATCGCACCTGTCCCTTGTCAGTCTCCACAGTCCGCTGGCGTACACATGATAATAAAATAAATGCAAATAATTCACAAGTTGAGGTTTTTAGGTTCTACAAGTGAGGGAAGGG